TTCAAACAGAAGATCTGGAGTATCGGCTATAAATGGAACAATTCCAATCAGGAATTCATAAAGAATGATACCAAGCGCCCACCAATCCACTGGTTTACCTAGAATTATTAAAAAATTAACAAAATTTTTCCCGTAAACAGACAAAGAATGCTCAGAATTAAAACTGAAAAGCACGAGCTTACCGTATCCCTGTCTTAAGATTACTTCCGGTGCAATGTATTCTGGAGTGCCACAAAGTTGTTTATCGGTGAATTGCTGTGTATCGAGAAAATCAACGTAATTCTCGTAGAGGAGCGTGGCTCGATTCATCAGGCCTATTTTTGAAAGTCCGAAATCGGTTAATTTTATGTGACCCATTGCTGTTATAAGTAAGCTGCAAATACACAGCAGTTCATACGTAATTATGGATTCAGTACTTTACACAATCACCCCATAACAGTGGCATATTTCGGTCAAAGAAACTAGTAGCCTGCCGGCCAAGTCCAGTTTCCTGCCATTTTTGCATCATGATTTTTTGAAGTTTGTATTTTCAATGTTTTATGAAAGCGACTGTTCCTTTTTAAAGCAACATTCATTTGAGGACTAATTTTTGTGCCTTTATGGCTGGTTTTACACTTCCCTGACTAGAGTTTGCACATTCCCTTCTCAGTTAGTTTCTTTGTTATTCCATCTGACATTACGCTCTCAGATTAGTTTTCCGCGACTCTCCTTTACAAGAGGACAATCCAGCAAAGCAAAAGAACACAAGCAAAAAAGTAACATGCCATCAAAGTTCGTGTAGTGACAACAGATCCAAGTAAGCACCCAGTGTTGCTCGTGTAATGCTCGAGTAACGCACAATTCCCACCGGTGCTCGCCCACTTATACAAGTAACGACCATTTCTGGGGGCGGTACTTGAGCATCTGCCGTAGCTTATTTGTAATGGTGAGCCATCGTCGCACCCAGTTCAAATAACACCAGGAAGATTTTCGTCTAATATAGCCCGATCGCTCGTGTAACCATCAGGTAGCATAATGGGGCTATAGCTTCCTGTTACGCGACAACAATCGCCCCATCGTGTGATGGGACGGTTGTTTCATCGCACCCTTTGCTGCGACTGGACCATAGCAAAGTGCGACTTCGGAGCGAGGAGAAGGAGGGGGGAGGTTGATTCCCAATGCATTTCATGTGGAAACGAAACGAATGTCAGAGAGGCTGACCGTCTGGCGATGCAGCATGTCTCCTGTACAGTTGCAGAATTACACCACAAAATACAGTTATTCTAAATTTTCCGGAAAACACAGATGGGATGACGGGAAGCCTAACCTATTAAAGAGGAAAAACTAACTTATCGGGTTTCAAATCACGATGCACAATACCGTAGGAGTGAAGATAATCAATGGCAAGCACGGTCTCTGCAATGTAGAGCCGTGCTGTATCCAGCGGTAATGTCCCGGCCTTCTTCAGCAGCGCTGCGCAATCGCCACCTTCCACATATTCCATAAGCATGCAGAGATGGTGCCGCGTCTCGAATGAACCATAGAATGACACAACAAACGGATTGTCCGTGAATGTCAAAATGTCTCTTTCAGCGTATACCTAAAAAATTCAATTACAACGTTTTTCTTTTATTTATCACTAATTCTGCTCAGTGCCAAGTACCAGGACATACCTCCTTCCCTTAATATTTTCCACTGTCACTGGAAAATAACAATATCAGGCAGATTTATTTCTGGCATTCGCTCAGATTTTTATTAAAGGAATATGAGTGGCAGCAGCTTTCCACCGTCTTTGCTTCTGCCTTACAAAATTGTTATTAAGTCACTACTGTGCAGCTCTTCTCAGTGCACGTGAGCACAAAACAGAGCGCATATGCAGGAGCTCTAATTTCTTAAAAAACCGAAGATTGAGCGAAAAGGAACAGCAGCGGGAGGAAATCATCCGTATTGTATCAGTTATTCATTTTCACGCCGAAAAAAGAAACATCACTCCAGTGAAAAAGAAAACGCGAACTTCCTACAAGCATTCGGT